TCAAAATTTTCAATATTGAGAGTATTTTGGTGTACAAAGTGTAAAAAAGAACAAGACAAATAAATTCTTACATGAACTATAACGAAAATACCAACAGCATTTTACAAAAGAATATCTTTACTTCAATAATCATACCTAAGGCAGTCTGCACACATGACAACAGCACATTATATACACATGTGTTGCTTATACTGACAGCACGTGTTTTGCTTTCCTGGCCTTTTTATAGTACATACTTGACATATCAGTGGTCTTGCTGTTGTTTTTTTTCTTATTTTAAAGATAATTTAAAAGCAATAAAAGTGATATAGAATTTCAAAAGACAGAAAATTAACAATAGTTAATTATCTATCTATCTATCTATCTATCTATCTATCTATCTATCTGTATTCCTTCTTTTCTCCTTTCCCCCATCCCAGTTGTTCTTTCCTTTTTGAACAGTTTCTTTCCATTTCACAATATCTATTGTACCTTTTGGGTTTTATTTATTTTTTCAGTTTCTTACACTATGGAGATAATACAATGTTTACACAAGCAAGTCTGATTTATTTCACTTAAGAGTATGGTCTCTAGTTCCATCCACTTACCTGTAAGAGCCTTGAGATTTTCTTTCTTTATAACTGAGTAATAATCCATTGTATAAAAATAACACATCTTTTTTATACATTCCTGGGTTGATGGGCATTTGGGCTGTTTCCAAGATTTAGCTATAACAAATTGTGCTGGCTATAAACATGGGTGCACATATATCGCTGTGGCATGATGTTTTCAATTCTGGAAAAATACCCAGAAGAGGGATAGCTGGGTTGAATGGGACCTCCAATCCTAGTTTTTTGAGGAATCTCTACACTGATTTCCACAGCCGTTGTACCAGTCTACACTCCCACCAACAGTGCAGAAGGGTTTCTTTTTCCCCACAGCCCCTCCAGCATTTGTTGTTGGTTGATTTCTTGATGGTAACCATTCTTATTGGGGTGAGATGAAACCTCAGTGTTCTTTTAATCTGCATCTCTTCAATGACTAATGATGTTGAACATTTTTTCATTTATTTATTTGCCATTTTCATTTCTTCATCTGAGAAGTGTGTATTCATCTCAGATGCCCATTTTTGGATTGGGTCTTTGAACTTTGGGGGTTTGATTTTTTTTTTTTAATTCTTTATATGTTCTAGATAGAAGTCCTTTGTCTGAGGGACAGTTAGCTAAAACTTTTTCCAAGATTTTGGGATTTCTCTTCACTTTGTTGGTCATTTCTTTTGATGTGCAAAAAATTTAATAAGATGAGAACGCTAGTGTTGATTATTTAAAGTATTTCACCTGCAATTTGGGTTTTGTTCATGAAGTAAGTCTCTGCCTACACCTACATCTTCAAGATTTCTACCTAGTTTCTCTTCAATGAGATTTACTGTTTCTGTTTTAATACTTAGATCTTTGATCCATTTTGACTTTACTGTATGGTGATAGGCATGGATCTAGTTTTAGTCTTTGGCATGTGGAGAGATTGTCCAGTACCATTTATTATAGAGGCTATCTTTCTTCTGGTGAACATGTTCAGCTCCTTGGTCAAAGATAAGGTAGTTGAGTGTGTTTGTAGTTGTGTCTGCATCTTCTAATCTGTTCAATTGATCCTTGGGTCTGTTTTTTCCCAGTACCATGTTGACTGTAGTATAATTTCAAGTCAGGGATTGTGATGCCTCCTCACTTGCCCCTGTTGTTCAGGATTGCCTCTGCTATTTTAGGTCTCTTCTGATTCCAGATGAATTTTAGGAATGCTTTTTCTAGATCTGTGAGGTATGCTGATGGTATTTTGATTGGGATTGCTTTAAATCTGTATAACAGCTTTGGGAGTATGACTATTTTCACAGTGTTGGTTCTTCCTATCCACGAACAAGGAATATCTTTCCAATTTCTGAAATCCTCTTCAATGCCTTTTTTCACAGTAATTTTCAATGTACAGATCTTTTACTTCCTTTGTTAGATTAATTCCTAAGTATTACATTGTTTTGGATGCTATTGTGAAAAGTGTGATCTCCCTAATTTCCTTCTTAGTGTGTTTGTTGTTTGTGTACAGGAGTACCACTGATTTTTGAGTGTTGACTTTGTATCCAGCTATGCTACTGAATTTGTTCATTAATTCTTGGAGTCTCCTGGTGGAGTTTTTGTGGTCTTCCATGTAGAGTATCATGTCATCTGTGAATAATGATTTCACTTCTTCCTTTCCTATCCTTATTACTTTTATTTCTCTCTTGTGTCTAATTGCTCTGGCTAATGTTTCCAGAACTGTATTGAACAGGAGTGGTGATAGTGGACATCCTTGTCTTATGATTTTAGAGTGAAAGCTTTCACTTTTTGTCCATTTAGTATGATGTTGGCTGTTGGTTTTTAAGAGATGGCTTTTACCAGATTGAGGTAAAGACGTCAATCTGAAGACCTTTTCTGTAGGGTTTTTATCATGAATTACTGTTGGACTTTATCAAAAGCATTGTCTGCATCAATTGAGATGATCATGTGATTTTTCTGTATTTGGCTCTATTGATAGAGTGTATTACATTTATTGATTTGCATATTGGACCATCCCTGTATTCTTGGGATGAATCCCACTTGGTCATGGTGTATAATCTTCTTGATGATTTGCTGCATTCTGTTTGATAGTATTTTATTGAGGATTTTTGCATCTATATTCATTAGGGAGAGTGAAGTGTAATTTTCTTTTTTGGTTAAGTATTTCTCTGGTTTTGGTATCAGGTTAATACTTGCCTCCAGGAATGAGCTAGAGAGAACTGCTTCCCTTCTAATTTCATTAAGGAGTTTGAGGAATATTAGCATTAAATCTTCTCTGAATTTCTTGCAGAATTCAGCTGTGAATCAGTTCCTGGGCTTTTCTTTGTTGGTAAGTTTTTAATTACATTTTCAATTTCATTGATATTTGGTTACTCAGAGTTTTTATATCTTCTTGATTCAGCTTTGGTAATTTATATGTTTCTAGGAATCTGTCCATTTCTTCTGTTTTCCATCCTATGCAAATAAAGATTTTCAATGTAGGTAATGATGATCAAAGGCTCCTGAATTTCCACAGGATCTGATTTCACCCTCTTCATTCCTTATTGCATGAATGTGATTTGTTTCTTTGCATTTTTTTGATATGGTTGGCTAAGTGTTTACCAATTTTATTTATTCTTTCAAAGAACCACCTCTTTGATTCATTAATTCTTTGTATTGTTTTCTTAGTCTCCATTGCATTAATTTCTGCTCTGATCTTTAAAATTTCCTCCTTTCTTTAGGCTTGACTTGCTCTTCTTTTACTAAAAGCTCGAGACGCAGCATTAGGTTGTTTATTTGTGCTGTTCTGTTTTCCTGAAGTGAGAAGTCACTGCTATAAATTTCCCTCTTAGGACTGTTTTCATTCTGTCACACAGGTACCAGAGAGTTCTATTTGCATTTTTGTTTGATTGTAGAAATTATTTAATTTCTTCTTTGATTTCAGCTGTGACCCACTAGTTTTTCATGAGGGTGTCATTTAATTTCCATTTCTTTATGAGTTTCTGCAGTTTCTTTTGCCAGTAATTTCTAATGTCATTGCCCTATGATTAGATAATATGCATGGGATAATTTTAATTCCTTTCCATTTGCCTAAGCATGTTTTGTGCACTAGTATACGGTCTATTTTAGAGAATGTGCCATGTACAGCTGAGAAGAATGTGTATTCTGATGTTGTGTGGAACACTCTGTAAAGGTCTACTAAGTCCATTTGTTCACAAGTTTGGTTCAGTTCTGTTTTTTTTTTGTTTGTTTTTTTGCTGAGTTTTTGTCTAGTTGATCTATCTGTCTGTGGCAATGGGTTTTAAATTCCCCTGTTACAATTGTGTTATTGCCCATTTTATTTTCATGTCTATTAATATTTGTCTTATACAATTGGGTTCTCTGGTTAATATTTTTCTTATATAGCTGAGTTCTTATATACTTAGGTTGTCTTATATAGTTGGGATCTTAGTGCATATATATTTATGATTATTATCTCTTTCTCTTGAAATTTTCCACTAACAAGTATATAGTGACCTTCTTTATGTGTTTTGATCATTCTTGGTTTGAAGTTCACATTGTATAAAAAGAGTAGCTATCCCTGCATTTTTCTGGGTTCCTGTCACATGGAGCATTGTTTTCCATCCTTTGACTTTTAAGTCTATGAATTTCCTTTGAAGTTAAATGTGTTTCTTGTATACAGCATATTGTTGTTTCTTGATCCACTCTGCCAGTCTGTTTCTTTTGATTGGTGAATAGAGGCAATTTACATTAATGGTTAAAACTGATATTTATTGGCTTATCTATGTCATGTTATTTTCCTGCTGTTGGCTCCCTACTTTTCCCCTCTGTTTAACTGCTTGCACTGCTGGTGGTTACTTTATGTTGTTTATCTTTTAATTTTGGTTATTTTTATCACTTTCTGGAATATCTTTCAGTACTCTTTGTAGGTTGGTTTGGTGGTCATGAATTTCTTCAGTTGTTCTTTGTCATGGAAGTATCCTATTTGTCCATTAATTTTGAAAGATAGCTTTGCAAGGTACATCAATCTGGGTTGGAAGGTGTTTTCTTTCAGGACTTGGAATACTTCACTCTGAACTCTGTTCTTCAGGGATATCTTCTGCATGTAGAAAATTGTTGGTTTGTGTCTGTCCTAAGAGCCTACCTTCCCAATTAATTGAGAGTGGGAAGTTGCTTTCTGTCTGGCTTTGTCCCCAGTCTTTTGGTGTAAGGTGGGGTAAGGTTATTACTCTAGAGCTTCCCAATATTTTTATACAAGGAAGAACAACTGATTACACAGATGTGACATCCTTACTACAGTAGTAAAATTAGCAATAATGACAGCATCAAGCACAATTTAGAAATTGACAAACTGTAGTAACTATTTTGTACTTTAGAACAATATCCATAGTTGTATAACTGAACCAATCATAAATTAGAAGTTTGTATGCAAAGTGTTTCCCCTTGTTATAGTGGATTTACCCTGGGTTCCTCTGGAAGACCAGGCTGCCATGTCCAAGGCACTTCTCATGCTGGCTGCCCATCCTGTCGTGTAGGGCAATGTGCCAGGCACCTGGGTTCTTCCAGACAGAGGCTCCTGTGATGGCAGAGGGGTGGTGGGCGAGGTGTCTTGCCTTCCTTGTGGCTCACCTAGGCTCCTGCAATGGCAGAGGGAGGGTGAGTGGGATCTCTTCCCTTTCTTGAGGCTCACCAAGGCTCTCTTGGTAACTCCCCCAATGGCAGAGGGGGTCTTGCTATTTTGTCAGGGGGTTGTTATTATATTATACAGTGCGTAGTTAACAAAAACATAAAATATCAATAAAGTATTAAATTCTTAATATATATTGTGTCTTTAGGATAGAGATCAACATTTTCACATCAGCTGTGTACTTCCTTACAAAACCTAAAAGACAACATCACAAATAAATCCCCATATGAACTACAATGAAAATACCAATAGAACTGTACAACAGAAATAATCTTTGCTTCAACTGTCACACCCAAGGCAGTCTTCACACTTGACAACTGAATGTTCCATGCTCATATCTCATACTGACAGCACAAGGGCTGAGTTTTCCTTTCCTATGTGGCAGGCTTGTCACCTCTCTTCCTGTTTTTTCAGGAGCTTCCTACTATATATTTTGAAATGCACTTAGCAGGGAACTAAGATATCATTAAAATAAAATAGTAAATATGTAATGAGTACTTAGAATAGACATCAACATTTTCTCATCAGCTATTTACTTACTTACAAAACCTAAAAGATTACATGAAAAATAAAAACCTATATAAACTACAGTGTAAACACAAACAAAAGTCTACCACAGAAACAATCTTTGTTTCAACTGTCACACCCAAGGCAGTTTTCACACATGACAATTTCATGTTCCATATACAAGTATTGCTTACACCAATAGCACATATGTTTTGTTTTCCTGTCATTTTTTATAGGGCACAGCTGACATCTTCTTTGTTTTCCTGTTGTCATAGTAGATCTTTGTGATGCTTCACCTACCTGCTTACCTGTCAGCTCACCAGTGTGCTCCACAATTTTTTATGTAGTTCCCTGGGCTGAAACATTGTGTTTTTCCTCTGCTGTAAATGATCTCTTATGTGTTCCAGTCTCAATCCTTTTGGAAAATTTCTCCATGATATTTCGCACTTATTATTTTCTTTGTAAACTATCAAACTATTTATACCACACGTTTAGGATTGAGTAAAATGCAAGCATTGGCCAATGCTTTGTGTTTCAAGTGACATATTTGCTGCATAACTCATCAGCAACATCTATTCCACCTTTGTTTTGCTGTAGAACATTTCCACCCCAGGCTTCTATTTGTCAAAGTTTCTCTATCAGTATTACCCCATCATGATAAAATCTTGACATAAGCAATACCAGTTTGTGTTTCTTTGCCATATATGAGGCCAGTGTAATTCTTTCTGAAATCCAAAGATTGTACTGTATAATTTTCTGTTTTGAAATTATAACACTACATTTGGAATCTATGCTTTGTTCCTGTGTACAGTTCCTGTGCTGGTCATCTTGTACTCTGTTAGCAAATCTAACATCAACTGGAAATTGGCAAACCAATTGTTGAATGTCACATTCTGATTACTTTAGGAGATGGGAGCAACAAGTCTGTTCAAAACATCATTCAGTTTATTACTATACAAATAAGAAAGTGATGGTTGAGTTCCAGGACAAATGTCAAAACTGAAAGAATAACAAGTCCTCACATCTACAAGGGCATACATTTTTATGCCATATGTTAACCTATTGCTTTTCCTTAAGTCTTTTACATTCCTGCCATTACCATGAGAAATCACTGCTTATTATGACAGACCCATGAATGTTTTCAGTTCAGCTAGTGAGGTGTCATAATAAATACATTTTTAAAATGGCTACTGGTGCACACAGAACATTTTACTTGCATTTCAGCCTTGGTGTATTATACAGCATTTTGTAGCATTTTGTCTGTTACAATTTCAAACATTGAATGGCAGTGCTGGCGTTCTGTCCAATACGTTTTCATACCTGCCAAGACTCTCACTATATATTTGGACTTAGTTCTAACATTGGATCATTTTATTTGGTTGTGTGGCCATTTTGGAACATTTCAACTTGTCAAATAGGTACTCACATTGCTATTTTCTTTGTCATCTGAATAAAGGATGCAACTTGCATTCCCTGTGTTGGTGTCAGTTAATTCTTGCTCCATTTCACTGTTAGAGAAGCTTCAGCTCAAATGGCCAATGTCAAATTCATCATCGTCATCATCATCATCATCCACTCATACCACTCTTTTGTAATGAAAGCAATTATTTCACAATAATGGATCATCTTCATTATCCATACATTAGTAATCCGATGATTCACTTTTAACCTACTCTAAAACTTTCAAATATGATTTTTCATGTGCCACTGTATTGAATTGAGGTACTTCTACCAAAAATATCAAGTGAAAACATTTTTAACAAATCATGGGAGTAATGTGTATCTATTGGACCCTCTGTGATGGTTGGTAAACATACATAAAACCAGTTAGATGGAGCATAACATGGATAAAAATGCCACTTTGTCACTTTTGTACATGTGCACACAACTTGCTGTTCATCATATGAAGTGGGTAAATACATAAATTGCTTCCTTTTTCCCTCAGAGAAAGATACTGAGATGTACATCCAGCTACTCGTAAGCTAAGAAATTTATAGCAGAAAATTAAGGGATGGGTCTGCTGGACCCAGTATTATGCTCCTGCACAGGTGGGGTCTAGTCCAAAATAATTCTGTCATAGGATTCCACTTTCATGAATAGAGGAATGCAGATTTTACAGAGTGGGTTGGATCTCTCAGGAGTGAATTAATTTTCATAATAGTAAGTTGATATGAAGGCAACCCATGTGCTTATCCCCTTCTGTACTCAGTGATTTCCCTTTTTGTTTCCCTACCATGTTGTGCTGCAGCCAAGGGGTCCCCACTAGGATGCCAGCATCATGCTGTTCAGATTCTCTAGCCACTGGAATTCTGAGCCAAACTTTATTTCATAAATTACCTACCCTCAGCTACCTTGTTATAGCAACACAAAACAAACAAAGATAGACCCCAATGGTTATATGTGTATTTGTGTTATGTACATTATGACTATACATATATACTTTAAATATTACTTTATAAATACATCATTAGACATATGCATTTAAAAAGTCCAACACAGAAATTTTGAAAGAGTGAAAAAAATAAATGTATTGATGTTCAATATTTTCTTTCTTCACCCTTATGAACTGTTTTGTGAACTGATCTAAATAACTGTCCTTCTTATTAGAGTCTCACCTTCAGGTGAAACAGACACATTTGTCTTTTTCTCATAGATGCTATTTTCTAATAGTTTAATAATGTCTGAGAGTTCCTCAAATCTACTTGCAAAGACCTTTTAATTTCTAGACTTAGAAATGTCATTCTGTAGGCAAGATCTCGTAATTGCTGAAGATACAACATATTTGCAGAATGTTGAATTTCTGGGGGTAAGCAAAATATGTGCTTACCCCCAGAAACTCCTAACTGAAAATTATATATTAAAAAAAGTCTGTTACACTACAAAATTTTTCAAAGAAAACATGATAGCAAATATTCACATCCTTGGATTAAACAATGAATTTTTAGATATGATACCAAAAGCAAGCCAGGGATATAGCTCAGTGGCACAAGTGCCTGCCTGGGAAGTACAAGATACTGAGTTTGATTCCCATTAGAAAAAAAAAAAAAAAAAAAAAAAAAGCAAGAGCAGTAAGAGTAAAAAGAGAAATTTAATTTCATCAAAATGAAAAGGTTTTGTGCTTGAAAGGACACTATTAATAATGTAAAAAGACAACTCACAGAAAGGGACTAAGTATTTGTAAATTATGTATCTACTAAGGGACGTATATCTAGAACATTAAAAATATTTTCTTAAAGTTCAAAAATAAAAAGAAAACCCAATTAAAACATGAGTCCAGGTTCTGAATAGACTTCTCTTCAAAGACATACAAATGACCAATAAATCTATAAAAAGGTGCTCAGTGTGATTAATCAGCAGAGAAATGTGAATTAAAACCACAAAAATATATTCCCTCACACCTAATGCGATGGCTTTAATAAAACTGTAAGAAAATACCAAGTGTTGGTGAAGGTAAGGAGAAAACATGGAGTGTTACCTTGACATACTGCACATGGGAATTTTAAGTGGTGCACTTAATTTGGAAAACAGCCTAGAAGTTCCTTAAAAATTTAAGCATAAAGTTACCATATGACCCAGCAATTCTACTTCCAATTGTAACTCAGAGAAGTGGAAACATATGCTCCACATAAAGCTTCTAGAATTATTCACAGTATTCAAAAAAGTGACAAAAAACCGAAGTTAATCAACCAATGAATGGCTAACAAATTCCAGATATATCACTACCATAAAAAGGAATAAACTAGGGGCTGGGGATTTAGCTCAGCGGCAAAAGCGCCTGCCTGGCAAGCGCAAGGTCGTGAGTTCGGTTCCCGGTACCAGAGAAAAACCAAAAAAAACCAAAAAGGAATAAACTGCTGATGCTTTCTATAACATGTATGAGCCTTCAAATATTATGCTAAGTGAAAGAAGCCAGTTAGAAAAACCTACATCTTATATGTGATGGTTAAACTTGATTATGTCAACTTAATTGCCACCCAGGAGATTGATAGAGCATACTTCTGGATGCGCCTTGGTGGGTCATGGAGGCATGACCTTGGGTAGTATGTCTGCTCCCTCAACTCTTCCTCATAGGTGCTGCTCTCCTTCTCTGCTTCCTAGTTACTATGAACTAAGCATCTTTGCTCCACCATGCCTTTCCACTATGATGTTCCTGCCTTGGAGCCAGCTGATTATGTACCAAATCCCCTGAAACCATGAACTAAATTAAACCTCTTTTGCTTTAAGTTGAGGATATCAGGTATTGTGTCCTAGCAAAAGGAAAGTCGAATAATATATGATTAATTTGTATGAAATGCTCACAATAGCCACTACATTAATTAGTCTGCTGCCATTAATATCACTCTCCCAGAAGGTCTCTGGACATGAACAAAAGCAGACAAATTTTTGGCCCAAACATAACATGGATGGCCTGGAGTTCATCTGCCAAAGGAGCCCTTCTTCCCA